TTAGGCCACATGTTACCCATTGTATATCCTTCCGAGGAGTTGTCCTCCTATGTTATCGTCCATCGTGTCCTTTTCAGAAAGGTGAACAGGTAACTAGGAGACATCTCCTTTATATTGGTAGGTGTAGGCCAAGACTCACCGAACACACACTCTCTTTGGCAACCTTGAGGTGGCCTCCGCGAAGATTTTGGAAGGTGCAGCGATAGTACTGTCGTTGCGCGGCTTCTTCAACCTTCTTGGGGTTCATTCCGTGAAGGTGCGTAAGTGAGGAAGCTTTCCTGCAGGGGCAGCCGGTTCCTTGCCTTTATGCAAGGCGGAGCCCTTGGCGCCCGCCGCAGGAAGTGCCCTTGCTGTTGGAGGTGATTTGCTATGTCCAGCCTCATTCCAAGTGGTAGATTGGGGTGAACATTTCTGTTAATCCCCAGCCACCGCCTTAGATTGAGGTGAGCACTTCTGTTCAGCCTCGGAATTGGTTTTTGTTGTTTCTGTTTTTGTGTTGTTTCATTCATGTGTGTTTCCACGAGTAGCAAGGGAAGAGTTGGTCACCTCTGGCAGAGCCCCGCCCTACCAGAGGTAGGCTGATTATAATGAGGTTTCGCCCAGTTCCCCAAGGGGATTGTTAGTAACCGCATATCACCATGAGGCCATTCAGCTGTCGGCACGATTCCTTAAACCTTAGCTTGGGTAGGCTGGTCCACGGTGGCATGTTTTGCAAAGGCTTTTGGGGGGGTTTAAGTTCCCTCACCTTACTTATTTCTGCCACTGGCCAGGAGTTCGGCGACCCCATCCATAAGACCACATTGGCTTCTCGGACAGGGCCTTCAGTCCCCTGGCCGTTCCCCTATCCGCCACCTGGGGACGCGCCCGATAGGTAGCCTAACCCACGGGAAATAGAAGTCATATTAGGATAACAAATCCACATGATACTTACTGTTTCAAATAATGTTGAGGCCCCCCCTAATGTTTGGAGAATATCTATTGCCAAAGAAGTGGAACTTTGGTATAGTGACTTGAGTAGCTCTTTGATCTATTAAATTGAAAACGTGTTAGTATGAAGCATTATTTTTGTTCAACACCACCATCAGTTCATTGAATTATAGGTAGTTTATTATTTCGCCAGTGAAATTTTAACGGTTCCCTGATTTCATGATCATTGAAAACGATCCTGAAATCTCAAAATTTTTACTCTTTTGGAAATGTATTTAACGAATCAGAGATTTCGAAGCAATTTTCATGAAGTTGAGTTGTTGTAACTGAACTAGATCAGATAACTGAAGGAGAAGAAATTCAGGAGCGCATTTTCTTTATTACTTCGTACGAAATCCAAAAGTTAGCAGAATTTCCAGTAACCAACTGGGAATAATTCAAGCTGTCAAGAAGCATTTGGAATTGAACATAACTTCCGTGCGAGTGAACCTGTTTTGCCCAATCTAAACTAGTAATTGTGTTAGCGGTAAATTTCGTTGAAAGACCCGACAACGGCCGTTAGAAAGAGAAGAGTATCAACTGGCTCGATTAGCGCGCCTGAAAAACGTCAACGCCGCAAAAAGCACGAGAAAAACAATGGTTTGTGGAGGACAATGGAGCTGTCGGAAAAGTTGTGGATAGGTGTTATTTTACAGTCAGTTCATTGAAATGTGAAGTAAATCATTTGTTTCCCGACTGAGAGTTTCAATAATTTTCAAAATGATTTGGATACCATTGGCAACTTTTTCGATGTGAAATAAACTTAAATAGTCAAGAGTCAAAATAGCAGAAAATATAGATGAGCATATTCCATGAAATCCAGAACATCCTCACTGTTCATTTTAATTATGGATATTTTTCGATCATGTCCCATATATCTTTATGCTGTGAATGTTATTTTGTATCGCATAGTTTGATTCGTTAAACCCTCTTCAGTATTTGTATACAGTACGGCCCAGTTGTCTTGCATTATTATTACATATTGAGAAACTTTTTCGAAGAGGCAATTTTTCTTTGAATAAATTAATATATTTTTCACCTAAGGAAAAATTTCTTTATTAAAAAATATCTGAGTTGCAATAACACAAATATTGAACTGAAAAGTTTTTAATCAAATTAATAACACTGTCGTTATTAATTTGGACATGTCGAAGGATTTGTGGTAAAAGTTGGGGTTTAGGTTCCAAACAAATCCATTGGATTCATGTGATGATTGTCAGACCAATGATCACTTATGGAGGCAATCGCCTGGTGGCCGAAGGCTTTACAGAAAACGGTTCAGGCAAAGCTTTCTGGCTCACAGAGACAGCTTGTCTGGCCATCAGTGGTGTCATTAGGACCACGCCGTCAGCGGCCATGGAGATCCTTCTAAATCTTCCCCCTCTTCACGTTTTTCTGAAGAGAGAGGCTAGATAGACTGCATATAGACTTGTACATATTACCAGTAGCCCAAATCAATTTAATGTAGAGTACAACAGACTGGTGGTTGACACTGAAAGTCGTAGCTTTCTGTGAATGACCTCTGACTACATGCCTCCAACTGTCAACTATGTACTGCATTATAAAGTACTGTTTCCGGGTAGAGAGAATTGGATCCTCTGGGAGAAGGAAATATTCAGAGCAGATAATTGTTGGTTCACAGATGAATCAAAAACATCTTCAGGTTCTGGTGCAGGTGTTTTCAGTCGCAGATCGAAGACAGAGATATCAACCTGTCTAGGAAGCTATGCGACTGTATTTCAAGCGGAAATTTATGAATTGTGTGCGGAGAGATTGAAAGAATCCAACTTCAATAAAAATATTATCGAACAGTCAAGCAACGTTGGAAGCTCTTGGCTCCTACCGAGCAACATCTAAATTGCTAGCAAATGAGGCGATGAGGCTGCTGTCTTCCTTGCAAAGGAGGGCGTTGCAAGCAGTTTCATTGGACCAGAACCTGTCATTGGCATCGCTTTAGGCTTTGGCAAACAAACATTCAACACCAGGATGACAAGAAGATTTATAGACTTCTGGCAGAATCTCACTCAAATGCCCTTTATACCAAACAGTTGTTGGGCTACAGTAGGGATTAAGTACGTTGTCTTACATGCCCTCTCACAGGTCACTATCATCTGAATCATCAAATGCGGAGACTCGAACTGTCGAAAAACAGTATGTGTTGCCTCAGTTTGGAAAATTATGAAACAACAGAGCACATAGTTTGTGCGGCAGAGCCGCTCTTTTACCATCTGACCTGAAAGACCACTCATGATACAAACTAATCGGCTTCGTTAAGAAGCTGGGTTTGTTTGGTCGAGTGTGAATAGGTGTGAGCCACAATAAACCCTTGCGGGTTGTGATGAGGAAGTCAAATAGACCCACTCACTTTTGAACTAACCCAACCTTACCATAGCTGTTGCCCTTGAATTTCAATAAGTGTATTCCAGTTCTGCGGTATTTTCAGATATCCTAACAGCACAAATGCATGCATTTACCACTGTAATTCATAATGATAACATCCCAGAAACTATAAGGACGTAGTTTCAGCCTATTCAATTTATCCATAAAAGTCCAAAAGAACAGGGCCTCACTGCATGCAATCACTAAAACGAATGAAAACTCTTCGAATCGAACTCTACACAATTTGATACAAGAGACGATGAGGAAAAATGATGGGTTTAAGTTCCCTCACCCTACTTATTTCTGCCACTAGCCAGGAGTTCGGCGACCCCATCCATAAGACCACATTGGCTTCTCGGACAGGGCCTTCAGTCCCCTGGCCGTTCCCCTATCCGCCACCTGGGGACATGCGGCAGAGCCGCTCTTTTACCATCTGACCTGAAAGACCACTCATGATACAAACTAATCGGCTTCGTTAAGAAGCTGGGTTTGTTTGGTCGAGTATGAATAGGTGTGAGCCACAATAAACCCTTGCGGGTTGTGATGAGGGGGTCAAATAGACCCACTCACTTTTGAACTAACCCAACCTTACCATAGCTGTTGCCCTTGAATTTCAATAAGTGTATTCAAGTTTTGCGGTATTTTCAGATATCCTAACAGCACAAATGCATGCATTTACCACTGTAACTCATAATGATAACATCCCAGAAACTATAAGGACGTAGTTTCAGCCTATTCAATTCATCCATAAAAGTCCAAAAGAACAGGGCCTCACTGCATGCAATCACTGAAACGAATGAAAACTCTTCGACTCTACACAATTTCATACAAGAGACGATGAGGAAAAATGATTTTGATGAAAGTCCTGAAAAGACGAAACGTCATTTCTTTCAATTGGCCATTAGCATAAGTAACTTTTTTTTAATTTAACCACAGTCAACAAGATCTGTATAGGAATCATTGAAATGATTACCTCTCTAAATGTAACTTTGGACTCCATCTGGCATAAGATTAGAAGCAAGTTGTATACATGTATAATATTCAATAGCGTTAATTGTCGTGGGTCTGTAAAAGTTATACACTGTGGAGGTATCCCACAATGTTTTGAATAGAAATGGAGAAGTGACAGCCTATACGTTTTTTCCCCAAAACATACGTCCTAGTATTTAGACCCTATACAGTTGTAGTAATATTATAATGTGGTTTCTGAAATGAGATGTACAATCTCTTTTATATAAGGCGAAGATGATAGCATTACTGTCATCACCATTATCAGAATTTCATCTACGTCTAATGAAAACTGAGCATTTATTCAATCCCATCCCGACCACTGAGCAATCACGGAAGAAGATATTTTCAGAGAATGATAATACAAAAAATATTCGCTATATACTGCTTTATTATCTGATTACTGTGTGAAAACTGCAATTTCAATAAATAATTTCGAACCGGAAAATAAACTTCTAAAACTTCACCTCCTTGAATGAAGTGTAAATTTGATTTGAATTCACGAGCTTTCAGCAAAACATTCCCAGGAGGTTGTGGATGTTACAGCAATATGCGTATCCTTCAAAATGTAAATATCCCAAGTTATGACTGAAAACAAAAGTAAGTTCAATAAAATTGCGCTCATGTGCTCTTTTCTGTTGTTTCAGCTGATGTGATGCACGAAAATACTTCAGATGGAAATTCAGAGCACAACTCTTCGGGCGATGAAGATTCACAATTGAGGCTGAGACTGAAAAGGAAGCTTCAGAGGAATAGAACATCTTTCACGAATGAACAAATTGACAGTTTGGAAAAAGGTATGAACATTATATGTTTCACTATTTTTGAATATGTAAATGATGATAAAATGTTCATTAGTACCGAACGTCCAGTTGGCATTTTTTAAATGAATATTTCAATGATAATATCATAACAAATCAAGTGGAATCCATCACATAACTTTATGTCAAACTACCTTTCCTTGAAAAAATCATACAAACGTGATATTTTCTCAGAACAATGTTTTCAACGATAGCTTAACGTTTTCACTGATAATTTCCATAGACTAAAGTATTGTCATATATCTGAGCCAATTTGTAATATCTCACTTTCATAATAAATTTCAATTATATCTCCTTGAAAGACAAAGAACTTGTGAGTTCCATGGAAATCCGTGTAGAAATATTCGAATTCATCTAATCCAATATAGATGAATAATTGTTGAAATATTTTATCACAATACAATGAAGTTCAAATGTTAATTTTTCGAATAATTGTTCAATAGTAGAATTAATTATTTATCTTTTATACCTGATCATTTTTCTCAAAAACTATTATTATTAAAAATATATTTTCTGTTGTTGAAATTATTTAAATTCTCCATTCTTTAGAAATACTAAACGAATACTGTCTGACAAAGTGAAATGGCATACATTCACACAACACAAGCACAACACAAGCACATTTGTGGTTAGGTGAAAGGTTCCAATATATGTATGAAGGGAGATAGGAAGTATTTATATTATTACAATAAGTAATTTTGCATTATCATATTTCAAATCAGCAATCTGTACATGATAACTGTTACTGTTGAGATTACTGTTTCTCATGCTGTTTTTCTTTCAATAAATATCAGATAATAATAATAGAATATCTATGAAACTATATATTCCAACTTATCATATTGATACTAACACCACTTGAAACTATACGAAGGTATATCTTGTTTCATATTCGAAATCTGCAAGTGACAAAAAAGAAAACCGTGTCAAGTTAGAGATCGAAATAGTCAACCCACTTCCTATTCTTCAACTGTCTTGACGAACATAAAACTGTATTTCATTCCACACATATACTCATGGAGAAAACAAAGTATGTCCTTCTCCAGAATGGTGCTGATTCTCATCATTCAACAACGATTGTTTTGACTATTAACTCTCAAAAAAAAACTTTCATCACTGAAAAAAAATCAGTAACAGGCGCTGTATAAAGTAGTTCAGTGTTCGATTCAAATACGGGAAATGTTTTCAAAGAAAGTATCGTTTTCAAATTACGCCCCGGCAGCGTTCTGGTCGGCTTTTATTGCATACTCGCCGTGCTTCAACATCTTTTAGGAAACCACCGGAATTAGTCAAATATGGCTAGATTTGTTACTGGATGTTTAAATTATCACCGTCTTTTGAGAATCCTGCCTACTGTTTTTCAGTGCTGAGGACATGAAAGCACTCGAAATTCATCGCCGAATCAGTGAAGTTCATGATGAAATCGACCTTCTGTCTTTTGGCTGGGAATAATTGAAACAACCTTAATACAGTCCTGATCTATCATCTAGTTATTAACATTTTTTTCTGCGTTTCAATCAGGCGGCAAACTTCTTTGAGGATGACATGTTATTCGCTGTTTCACTAGGGTCAGTATCACTTTCAGAATTTTTCGTATCGAATCATGAGAAATATTCATTTTAGTGTCATTTTTTCGTAACCACAGTAGAAGATTTATAGCAAATTGTATCTGAACTCTCACATCAACAGCTTTCTTAAAGTTCTTTCTTATTCGCGGGTTTCGTTCTTTCACATTTTATCATCAATTTTCTATATTTCTGTGGCTCCTGGCACCTACCTTACTGGTCTATTTCTTTCAAATCTTTGGAAAACAATCGAGTATAGTGCGCTTTGAGCATTTTTCCTCATCTTCTCATTACTTATGCCTACAGCCTTGTTACCTGTCCTTCGATGTATATCTTGTTATAATGCTAAACAAAAAAATATTCAATATTCAAAATTTCATAACCTCTTTCAGTTTCTTTCAGTTAGATGAAAATTTTCATTACAAAATTTCAAAATATGAAAAGGAATTTTTGATCCATCCATCTTATTTATTCAATGGTTTGATTTATTTCCATTGTTTGTCATTTATTCAGTTTCATAAAGTTTTAAGGTTTCTTTCCTTAGAGAAAGAAACGAATAGTTTCAACATTCATTAACCTCAACTTTCTCTAAAAAATTAGCTACCACTGAAATATATTTTCAAAGAGCTTTGTAAATAAATTGGAGGATTGTTGTCTATACTATATATATTACGGGTATATTGATTGTTTTGGTATTGATATATGTTTTCTTTTCATACATATTCTCACTCTCAGTATGGTGATAAATGATTTTTTTTGTTTCAGAATTTGAACGGACGCACTATCCAGATGTCTTTGCAAGGGAGCGGCTAGCCGAAAAAATTGGATTACCTGAGGCACGTATCCAGGTAACAATTTTTTTCCAAATCTGTAGAGAACAATAGCAAACGTACTCCGTTATCAGAAATTGTTCAATACCGAAATCGAAATAACCCACGCCAGTCACAAAAACATTTGGCCTACAATCATTATCGATATCAATCAAACGAGAAAGGTTCGAATACACGGACGCATGAAAATCTGGATAAATTCCAGCAAAAAAGTAATAGCGAACATCCGATTCAGGTTTTGGCACCAATGATCAATACCATCAGGCAACGAAGCCTGAAAACATGCGTCAACATCGTTCGGATCCGGTATTTCGGTCGGTTTTCCCTTCCACTGGCGTATTCAAATCACTTTTGGGAGGAATTTGCGTGAATCGGAAACTGACCTGATCAAAAATGTGTTTTCGAAAGTCAATTTCAGAGTTTGATGAATTCGAATGCACAGTGCCGCTGAATTTTTTCATTAGTTTTTATATTGTTTCACTGTTTCCAATGAAATTTTCGAATTCAAAATGGAATGCATTTCTAGATTGAAACTAACTGAATGACGGAGAAAGTGAAATTCATGTTAACACTCCATAAATGTGGAAACTCACTTCTGAATGATGAAAAAAATGCGGCTTTGAGGATATAAATAATGAATTCATTACTGAAACGTAAACATTTGCTGGGAAAATTATTTGCCGCTATGAACTGTATGCCACTTCATCTAAAGTCGACTCAAAGGGAAGAAATGAAAATAATGAATTAAATTTATTCACAGATATACCTACACCGAATATATTGCATGAAATGTTCAAATAAATGTAAACAATAAGAATAGTGTCACATCAAAAAATTCATCTTGCCAGTCTAAATATCAAAATTCACCTTTAAAGATGTCAATAACTCGAATTCTTCGTAAATGATTAATTTCTGAATATTTCAGTTGATTTTCGAATTCTCTAAAGAAAATCACTTGACAATTTGGAAAACCGTATACAAAATTATAAATAGAAATGCGTGATACATTATCAGCAACGTCCACCTCCAAAATATACCTAGGTAAGTAAATAATTTATGAACTATATTCAAAATGAATAGTTCAGTTAAGTATTAGATAAATCTATCGATTTAATCTGAATTATTTCTGCCAGCAAACCATAATATCAAATTTCTAGTTCGAATAACACACTATTGTGAGATTTCCACTGGACAGTTTTCAAAACCTCAATACGTGTCTCGCTATACAACGGCTTTCTCAAGGGTTTTCATACTTTTATTTGCAAAATTCCGTCATGTTTGCAACCTATCAAGCTTCAGATGGAAGTTTTTCAGGTCAATGAACATTTACTTATATCGATAGTGTTCCTATGAGAGAATTTCATTTTGAAAATTTTCAGACAAACAGAATGAGGAAAAGTTATTTCCGTGTAATCCAATAGTCATAATTGAAAGTAGTAGTTCCCGATGAAATTTTTCTTATGTCGATTTGTATCTGCGCATGAATCGCACACTTCTGTGATGTATTCAATTTTGTTCTTCCTTTTTAGTCCCCACTTTGCGTATAATGATGGAGAAGTTGAAAGCCAAACGGTTTTTAACTAAATTCTCCTAAAGAAATATACTCTTTCCAGTACGTTCGTGATCATAACGTGAAGGAAAACTACTGAAATCATATTTCTGTCACATATTCAACTCTCGAGTCAAATAATACATTCACACAATATCGAATTATACATGCCGCAATTAATGCCATTCCCACTCTAAAAACATTTCACTGTCAGCGTTTCAGTTTTGAAAGATAACTATAGAATACTCTGTGAGAGTTTTATATATGAAGGTAGTTTTCTTATTTGACTGAAACATTCTTATAGTCACCCGTTTCAGCTCGCGGATTGTAGGTATTGTCGGAAAACTACTGAATAGAACATCTCACTTTGAAGTTCACCCTAACCTTATCTTCTGTTTCGTTACTGAAATGATCTTCCAAGAGAAACACTTTTTTTTGTTTCATTGCATCAGTCTCATGAAAAACTGTATAATTTCTTTTTCACCACAATAAAGACGGCCGCACTCATGGCAGACACTGTTACGCCACTGGATCAATCCTCTGGCTGCCAGCTTCCAATCGCAATCTCTTTTGGCGCTTGTCAATCATTATTTACATATGACGATAAATATTGTGGTACGAAAGATCGCTCTTACTCGCCCCTGCTCTAACGATATCAAGTACTTAAATGTTATATTGAAAGCAGAACAAATTGATAAGTTTGTTTGCCTAATTATCTATTCACCGGCTGTTGGTAAAGAAGGGAGAGAACATACAAAACATACAACGTGGTCACGACAAGCATTTCTTTGATCGAATAGAAGGGCCCTTTTTCCTGTTTCGTAGTTGAGTTCAGATATATCATCAAATTGAAGGATTGAAAGTGAAGTGGTTCGGAGTATGAATGTATGTAACTCTAGTTGAGGCAGTCAGAGTACAGGGAGTAATAGAGTACCTACTCATGAATTACTGTGGAAACATATAATTGATAATAATAATAATAATATAACCATCTACGGCACTCTTACGGTATTGACGAGACACCGGTGTTGCCCTACGCTCCGGGGGATATTGAAGCCGTTGTGGGGACCGAGAAGTGCCGAATTTATGGAACTATTCACTCCCCACTCTCAGGCTCATACAAGCTAATAAGCCTGATGTAGTTCTTCTCGACCACCAGGGCAAGAGGATATTTTTCGTGGAGTTTTCAGGTCCTGGCGAGATGACTATCGTCCGAATAGAGGAGAAAAAACGGATAAAATATCGAGATTTTCTCTTCGAACTCCGCAGACTCTATCCAGACCACTCTGTCAAGATGGTTGTTCTGATTATTGGAGTACTTGGTGGAATAGATGTCCTCTCTACTCTCAAATCTTGAAATCATAACAGCTTGTCGCAGTAGGACAGAAATCTTAGCCGGACAGATGCAGAAGGCTGTCATTCTTGGCTCACTGCGCTTGCTTAGGGCACATGATTATTGGACCCAATGATCACTTGCCCCACGGAGTGGGGAGTGGTCGTTGGTTGATAATGTTGGCGCGCCTTCCCGAATGTATCGGGGCTTCGGGGGATAGGGCCTGACCAGCACATACTACGGTAAAATAATAATAATAATAATAATAAATGCTATTACTGAAAGATCACTCAGTACAAAAGATACCAACCTAACCTAACAAATGGCAGAATTCAACATCAGCACATGATAAATCAAGGCAGAAATTGCTCTTCCTTTCAACCCTGTCCAATTGATAGAGATCATTGTGTTGTCAGTATTTGCTCTGTGCAAAAGATTGAACTCGGTTTCTTACAAGGTAACTACATTTTTAGGACCAATATTTGTTAGTTTTTATTTACTTATCTGATTGATTTCATTGAAATAGTACAAGATAAATAATTGGTTTTGCAGACGGCATAGTGTTTCTTCACAAGTTTCTTTAGAAACGGAAATAACAATCAAATCCCATAACAGATACCGATACCTACCACAAGTGACATGAAATTTTTAGGAAATGCTGCAGAGTTTAAAAATTCAGTCTTCACCCTTCTGTGAGAATAAATAGTCCCAGCACAGTTCCAGACCCGTAAATAGACTAACTAAAAATAAAATAATATTGAAGCCTTCTGAAATTAAAAAAGTTAACTTAACAAATATGTTCAAAAAGTATACAAGGAAATGGGTACTTACTCTCTCCAGAAAAACGATACATGCTTCTTGTAATATGAAGAATCACTGAGATGATCTCGTGAGATGCTTATAGTTTCAGTTGTTGGTTATTTATGGTTTTCGTCGACTGTGATCTATATATGTTTGTGAAGTGATTTTTGTTATGGTCCAAATATGCGTCCATCATCTTAAAACAAATGAGGAACTCAAAATATCATGAATAAGGTTTGATATCAAAAAATTCAAGTATGAAATCAATTATGAAATGTCAATAAATTTACCTATTTATAAAGTATCTTGAATGATTCACATACGTATTTGGATACAACTTATATTTTTTACCTAATGTATGTATTCTGTACCTACTCAAATACCTTTTTGTAGGGAACCAAAACAATAACTATTATTATTAGCGACTATTGATAATTGTACCATCAGAATGACAAAACGATCATTCAAATGGAAATTTATAAAAAAATTCTCATCCGATATCAACCAAAACTTCGCTATTAACAATCTACTTGGTGGTTGGATTTCATTGAAAATGATTTTCAATTAATTTTAACATATGAAATGGAAGATTGGCAATTTTTGATAGTGGATGTATTCCTTTTTGATTATCGTCTCAAAAATGAAATGTTTTGCATTTCTTTTTGCTGTTTCCTTCACCATAAGAAAATAGCCCTTTCAATTTTCGCGGTTATAATATTTTCAGAAACACATTCCAGTTATTGAAATAAGTGTCGAGATGTTGAAAATAACGGTTTGGTGTTGAGGTTGAACTCCAGTAATATTCAATACTACATAAAACACCAAAAATTATCGAACTTCTCAAATTGACTCCCACAATAACTTTTTTTACTCTTTCCTAATTCTTACTGCGAATTCTACATCTTTTTCAATCGGATATATGGTGTTAGTTTACTGAATTGATGAATTTGTTAAAAACTTTTTTTTGACGCATGTTATTGCCTCTTCTTTCTTTTATAACGCAGTGACTGAACATTGAGATGCATTATGCTGAGTGTTCATTCCATATTGTTTTATAAGGTGATTACGCAACGGCTAAGTTTTATTTTTGAAAATGGTTCCTGTAGACTTGCCTTTGTAATGATGAAGTGGTTGACTGCAGCATTTTTTGTGTACGAAATCAAAAATTTTTTAAATTTTTGTATTTTATTTGACATTTGTTTTTTTTATTTTTGTGACTAATTTATGTCCAATTGAAACCATTCTCTGTTATCAAATTTCGGAAAATTATTTTTACACCTGAAGCTTTGTTTCAATTTTTCCCAAATCAACTCGATGGGATTGAAAACATATAAACAGGGGGAAGTCTCAGTATGGTGTGTCCATACTTTTCAGTAATACACTCAAGGGCATACAGTTTTTCAAATGCTTTTGTTTTGTAAAACTACAAGTAGTTGGTTTTTGGTATAGTTATCTTCAAAATACAAATTCTCATCGATTAAAAAACTTTGTATTTCATCTTTCCTTGTACAGTTGAGAAAGGAATTTCTGTAAAATCTGATGTTGCTTGTAATAGTTTGTTTCCCTCGAAACCAAACTTGAGATGTAGATTTTTATATACATTGGAACATACTCTCTGTGTTTCGATATTCAAATGCACTGGTAAATCTTTTTCGCATTGTTCACCACCGCTATTGGAATCACTATACTAGAAAAAGTCTGCGTTGTTATCACACTCTTTATTACTATAAGTACTTATCCAAGGACGCCACATTTAAAACAGATAACAAAAATTCCAAGTAATTATGACTGCACCAATATCGAATTTCAACACTCTAATCGCGAACAGTTCCTGAACTGAGCATTAACAACACGACAGCTATAACCATCCTCGCATTCTATACGTCACCGTAACATGACTTCAAATTTAATTTTATGACTCTTCAGACAATCATAAAACTCGGTTAGTAACAATTATCCAATAAAAACCGCCAATTTTACAGTCCACGTGGACTAGTTCGCAGCTGTTTCATTCTTATGTATTGGTTTTTTTGGCCTTCGAGAGTGCCGCCAACTTTAAATGTACGCAATATCGTTTACTTCGACTATACAATACAAGACAGTACCTACCAGACAGAAGATGACAAAGCAAATTGACTAGTAGCGACACAACGAGATAAGTCTTGTCTGGACAAGAGAACTAAATGAGATGAGTCGAAATCATCTCTGGGTAATTTCAGCTTGATTGGCGAAACGTACATCAAGAAACGTATTATCACAGTTCTGAAATATCAAAATAATATTTTCATTTGTTGTTGTGTTAGACGTTTGAGGTTTCAGTTCTGCCCAGAGATTATTATCGATATATAAACAAATAACCATATTTCTATTTATTTTTCATTGTTCTCATTGTATTTTATATCGAATGAAATTTCCTATCCTCTCATAACCTAATACAGAAAAAGCCTCCTGAAATACTTCATTTGAGCCCTTTCTGAATACACGGTTTTTATTATGATGAAAACGGCCCTTAGAAATGTTGCAATTTGTAAAAGTAAAGCAGAATGAATGGAAACTCCCCGAATGAAAATGTTCGAAACCATGTACTACTTTATCTAAATTACAAGCAACGTTTTCATTTGGCGAAAAGCTGCAAAAAAGCATGCTATACAAAAGTATAAACACCACAAGCTTGGAGATGAAATGATTTCGATGAAGCGAACTTTGAAGAAAGATTTCCGAGATTGTGTATTTCGTTAGATAAAAACTTCTGTTCCTTTGAATCAATTTCCGAACGTATTTAAGGTATTACTAGATAATTCTGAATGTGAATATTTCAAAAGTTGGGTAGAAGGGGGATGTTTGGATGAAGCCCCCTCGTTCGGAAAAAAAATATATTAAGGAGATGAAGACATGTATACAGATAATTTTGAAGTGAAATACATTAAAGAAAATGTCAAAAAATATTTTAGTACTCAGTTCTGTACGACCTTCACCCGATTCTGAAATAACATATGAATTCAAACACCCAATCTGCAGTGAACATTGTCAAACAGAATAAATTTTGAAATCTTGTGAAATAATAAGTCATAAAATTTAATATTGAACTGTTTCAGAAATGAAACTGAAAACATCAACTTAAATTTAATCAAAAATATAAATAACATAAAATTATACCAAAAGCTAAGTGCCAATTAAAAATTACATGGATTTGGGGTTGAATATGAAAAGGAAATGTATATATAAATTAACAAAAAATTTAAAAAATATTCAATTATAATGAAAGTTTCGGAAACATTTATCGAAACACATCAAATTGAAAAATTAGGCTTCATATGAATAAGGAATTGTTGGAGAAGATGTAACGATATAAAAAAATTAAATTTTTTGTTCGAAAAACATTGGAAAAATTGTTATTCACCAAATTATGAATACTGAATTTTTCAATGCAGAAATAAAAATAATGATTTTTTAAATATTACAAGACCATATTCCCAAACATATATTGAAGTATGTAATTCTGTTTGTGTTCATCCCGCCTCAATCACATTCGATCGCAATATTAATTGGACACTCTAGAAGAAAACATAGAGTAATGTTTTCTTGATAACTCTCGATTTAATTTTTGACAATATTCCGAAGGGTTTTTTTTTTCTTGATAGGGAATAAAATATTCATTTTCAATTATTGTCAATATCCGTATATTATTTAAGAATTTGGAGGAATCATCAGTCAACTTATTATCCAGTTAATTTTGGAAACCACTGAAAAATGACACCTACTCTTGTCTAAATACCTACTTTTGGCTTCACATCGATGTACTAGCAATCATTTCTTTGGTTTCAGGTTTGGTTCAGTAATCGACGAGCCAAATGGAGGAGAGAGGAGAAGCTACGGAATCAGAGGCGGTCAGTGGATCATGTAGGGGCAGTGAGTCCTACTGCTTCAGCTGCACGTTTACCCATCAACTCTGGTTTCAATCCTATGTACTCCTCGATACCCCAACCCATAGCTACGATGGCAGACACATACAGGTAAAGATCACGATATAGTAGCAAATGTACATTGACATAATCAAACCTGTCATAAATACGAGTTGAAGAACTATTGTAAGATGTAAGTAGTATAAGAACGTAGGCTTTTAGAATGAAACCTAAACTACCAAACGTTTCGTCTGCTACTGCGGCAAACATCTTAGTGGTATGGGCGTTAGCTGTGAAGACGAAAGTGATTGCTTGTCCACTCGTATTTATAACTTCAGAGACGGTTGGGCGGTAATGCTGGGAATGACGATGGGCCTGATGATGGAGATGGTGGTGTAGTCGATGGTGAGAATGAAATTTGCATGGAGACTCCATCATTGCCCCCACCATCATTGCTGAAGGTTGTCTTCTCCGCTATTTCCATCATCCGCCCCATCGTCATCCCTACCTTCACTTCCACTACCATCTGAGCTTATAAATACGAGTGAACATGTAGTTCGTCAGTCGTTGTGGTGATTGCGTCTTCGTAGTCAACGCATATACGACTACTTATATCTCTCGTGGAAGTAGACAAAACGTATGGTACTTCAGGTTCCATTCGACCATGGTATACTATAGCCCAGATTTTGTTCTCTTCAATGCCTATATAAAATGAGCAATATGTTTCTGCAATCCTATATTCTGAACTGAAAATATCTACATCTTCAAATTAATGAATATATGATCCAATTATAATCAGTCTCAAATATATTCCAGAACTTCTCAAAAATGCTAGTCTAGACCACCAGTAGCTCCAAAAGTTCGTAAATTGCAGTGGAACGACATAGAACAGTTTATGGTTCAGTCGTTGAGCTGGAGTAGTTTGAAATATTATTTGTCTGAGTTAGGCATCTCATGTTACTTCTATCAGTAGTCAATGAACGCACATTTTCAAGAGTCAATTTGAAAAAATACCAGTCCACTTATTTTTGAAACCCAAAGCATATCAATATTATCCTGAGCAGTTTATTAAAAGTACTCAATTTCAAAAACATAGTTTTTCATGAACATTTACCAAATATTAACATAATGAATGGATCTCTTTCTTGACTTTAGAGTGATCATGAATAATCTGACAGTCTATCATTCCTTTTAGTTCCACTGGAATTTACAAATCACCAGTAGCCACTGCTGAGTTATTTTTCTCTCATGCGTGAAAGACCATATGAAAAAGGGACTCCCTACTGTTTCATCTTGGAAATGAACTTGGGGCTAAGCTGGTTCACAAAAGACACTGTTGCCAGATTTTTGTTGAAGCGACATCATATGTGGATTCACTCTGTTTCACGAATTATTATTATGAATATTTCGTAAAAGAAACTGTTGGAAAAAATAGTAAAGTCATTACTAACTTATCGTTTGCATTAAGCCAAACTTTAGTTGGAATAATGAAAATAACAAAAGACATTGAATATTAATTGAGATGGGCTTTTTTTCTATAGTTTCAATCAGCTCGTAAAACAGTTTATTTGGAGATTTGGTTCATATCAACGTACATGATCTGTTAAGAATATGAAGAAGGCAATGGTCAGTACCTGAAGTAATAATCTAAATCACTGTTTTGGGGCCAATTATTCACAAAAAGTATTGATCTCGATGAGTTTGTGAGTTCCGTTTACTATCAGGGGTGCATTAACATTATTCATAGTTGAAATGAAAATTGTTTCAGTTATGTAAAAAGTTGATGAAAATGAAATTTCCACCATTTTCATGCAAAAAAGCACTAACACCCAGAAGGTAAAAGTCGAGTTGATGTCAACATACCATATACCACATTTAAGCATCAAGCATGACCTATATGAATGGTTTGATGTTGCGATATACGACAAACAGATCAAATTTTATAAAATAGTAGTTGATACTTCAAATAAAAAGAAAACTACTGCGGCAATTACTTAGTCAAGTATAAAATTATATGAACCTGGTGTCTGAATGACTTCATTATTATGATGGAGAAAAGCATTGCTTACACTCAAGGAAGAATGAATATCTCGTTTCTAAAAGTAATCAAAGGCCCTAATTGAATGAAAAATAAATCAAACACCCTTTTAGTAAGTGCTAATGATTATATAAAGTAATACAAGGTTCGTAGCGTAGGAGAAGTCATCTTTAGAAATGGAGTTTCAAGATGGGATCTGTATATTTCGTGAATTTTATTACTAACTGAATAGAAGAAATTACTTTAACTCTAAATTAGGGATATTTGCTAGACTGTAGCAATAGACTGGTATTGCTTGAGAATCTTGGAGTTATTAGCTGTTCTTAGAAAGGGTTCTTTGTTTTGATCCGGTTTGTAACATTTTCAACATGAGGAAGGAAACCGATGCCTTTTTTTCCTTGATAGTGTCTACCGAAGTTGGAGACGAAACAACAGGCATAAAAGCCTTCAGACTACTGCTAAAGAATCCAGAAAAAATCTTGAATAATAGTATTATCCTCAGTTGCATAAAAAATGGCTACCTTATTGCAGAATCGAGCTGAAAATTAAAAAAATATTGAAGATCAAAATTGTTAACTTTCCAAGTTAGTTGTTTTTGATGCACTTAAGTGTATCAATGTCCTAGAAATACAATACGATGTGGCAACAGCGTAGTGTCCTTTGAACGGATGGACAGACTAATCCGTCGGTGTGCCGTTGACGTGACGTGACCGCTACGAGCATGTCACGTCATTCGGATTCCGACGGACACCTTTGTTAAAGCGGGATTCCAGATGCGGGATAAATGATACGCGGACCACTGGCGCAACTGACTGACGTCTCTTATTCCGAAGAACCAACTTTGTTGTACGTGTCACTACTCATTTTAATGTGGCCAGTGACAGGTTCATAAATATTTTGAATAAATTAACCTGGGGTGAAGACGGGGTCGAACTCTAAAATAATGGAAAAGAAATAGTTATTTGAAAAAGCAGACATCAAACAATGGTTGAGCATAGAATGAATAGAGTTGATTTGGAAATTGCATTATCATCTAGTAGCATGGGCTATATATATGTAGAAAATACAGGGTGTGACTAAATAAGTGAAAAACATTCAAGAAGGTGATTCCTCATCGAAAAAAAGATAGGATCTTTCATATAAAGAAACTTCATTGGAGCATCCCTTGTTAAGATACAGTATCTGAAGGAAAGAAATGGCTATATTTTTTGCCAGAAATGTTAGAAAAAAATGTTTGCAAAAAATTACATGATTCGTTGATTCTAACCAATTCGCGGCGCATTATTAGTATGCCTGTTACAGAACCATTTGTGTGTCAGTTATTGTGTTCTCCATATAATTTATTTCAGATGTGATTTTCATTCTTTTTATTTCACAGTTTCGAAGCAATAACAAGCTTGAACACTCTACGTTGAAGTATTCAGTTTTTACTGCTGACATTGAAATTTGCTCATTGCTTGGCAATGTTTTTCTTCTGGTAATGGATTTTATAAAAGAAAACTTTCATGAAATTAACAGGAATCACTAGAATAGTCCGAAAAGGTGAGATCTCGTTAATCCTTAGCTCGCACAAGTTTCGACTTCTGAGGGTTGTCGTTTGTAGGAGTGCGACAGCTGGTTAACGGAAAAAAACAGATTGTTAAACAGAATTCAAACAGATTTTAAACTTCTTTTGAGTTTTTTCAGAAAAACTTGAATCAATCAAGTATAAATTGTTGTTGAAATTTTTTTTCTTCGTTATTCAGTTACAAAATCCAAATTTCGGGGTTCTTGCGGAATAGTAGCACTGATTTATGTTCATTTCAATCGGTTATATAGATGCTTAGCAATCGCTCAGCCTTCAGTTGTCTAGCCTTCACCTGTATCATCATTTTCAGCAGTGAGGAAAATACTTATCTTTGTTTATCACTTCAGATGACTTTTGTGTGACTTTACATTATCCAGAACTGATATTCTTGGTATATCTGAAGGTTGTAGTTTGGTATGTTTTTATTGACAGGTGTATAGAACAAATCCATTTTGTTTTAATTGAATAGAACTGGCCGATACTTGATGAAAATCCATATTGAAAAAACTAATCAATACAGTTTATTGTATGATTTTCACTATAAGGGTTTTACAAAAACCGCGACACGTGTTTCGCTATACAATAGCTTCTTCAGTTTATGCTTGAAGAAGCTATTGTATAGCGAAACACCGGAAGGCAATAGTACTTTATGACAATAGGAATATTAATATCATAAGGAAATATCGTTAGTTTCTGACAATGGCTATTCACTAATCTTGAGTAATTCCAGACTGGAATTCTGATCAAACTCATCTATGAATTCCAATAACAGTTCAGAAGCTCGGTGCGACCAATCGTTCTAATGTATATCGAAGATTAGAAGGATTAATTAATTAAGCGCCCGTTTCAACTGCATCAAGTCATTTCACACTAGGTGGAGCGACTAATTCGTTACAATTCACGGCTAATTCACATTTGCTCAGGAATGATAAGGCCTTTACCACATATTCATCGAACAAGTGTTTCTAGATTTGTGTTAAGTGTTGTGTAAATAGCTTGCAGTGATTTTTCGCATGGTTTGGTCAAGATGGTATCGTGTTTTGTGCGTAAAGTGGGAAGAAAAGAAATTGATATAAAAAAAGTTTTGAGCTTTGGACATTTTCAACCCAACCTGATGTTTAATATGATTTCACCTTAATCAATATTAACACATATAATGCAAAAAATATTCACTGATGTTTACAAAATAAAACACAAAAAACGATTCTTACATTTATCTTGGAATTCATTTTTACCAATTCATAATTAGTACAAAATAATATGACTGAATGAAATTTATTAACCTCTAATTATACTTAATTTCTGTTAAATTCGAAAATATGTGCCATAACAAAATTTAATTAGGTACGTCCTACAGAAAATATAAAAAATATACATACTCTAGATAAGAAATAATTTTACATACTAGCCACTCACTAGCCAAAGTGTTATAGATTTTTATAAGAAAAAACTCCGTTTAGCTGTGTTTTGATAATGCATCTTCGGTAGCTTGATGATGTTTTTGTGTTTCAGGGTAATGTAAAATGTTTCAAACAGTAAATTACTGAGTAGGTATCATGATTTATCATGCATTGCTTCAATCGGTAGAATCATTATCCAAATGGTATTTTGATCTGAAAATATATTCATTGAACATGAACTGTTCAACTTGGGAGACATTCTTTATCAAATTGATCCATTTATTATCAGAAAATACGGATCGATATTTCCATAAATAAAAATATGACTTCATATGGAACTTGAAGAAAGTCCTTGAATTATTTTTGGTGTGGAAATGTAATTTGTCACTAATGCAGCGTCATGATAGTTTTGTTGTACCTAAATTTTATGACCTTATAGTTATTTAAGAAATATTCCAGTGTTCTTGCTCTTCCAGTCCTATTATCCTGGGGAAAAGTTATATTTTACTTTTTAAATATATTATGGAAAGTGCAAAAGAGAGATGGATAAAAATGTTATATAACTACTTTTTCGCATCCGCCGAATGGTGAAATTATACAACACAAAAACACAACTTTTGATTGCTGACCATCTTTGGGGAGGATTAATGGTTAACAGAAAAACCAATTTTGAACCCATTACTTTCTGTATCGATCCCGTGAATGATATCTGTTTCAATTTCATGATGAATATGTAGTGAACAATGTTTATTCCTTTTACAGCATTCCATACAGTTATGAAGAAGTAAAGTGCAAACATTTTTTCCAGTATAATATTAATCATTTTCTGATCCACTTACATTGAATAAAAGACAATGAAAATGGTCTTGAAACTAAAACGAAATTAGCGTATATGTATCTGTAGAGTAGGGAGGGTGAGTGTGAGCCCACGGCACTTAGGTCACATGTGACCCATTGTACATCCTCCCGAGGAGTTGNCATATATTAATATAATTCTTATGCCGAACACACACTCTCTTATTGACGATAACTCCAGGCACTCGCATAGGACATGCCCGACAGTCTCATCTTCCTGTTAAAACATCCTGCATAGGGGTGTGTCCACTAGCCCCATATTATGGAGGTGCTTCCTTAGTTGACAGTGGCCAGTCAGAAATCCTACTGTTAAGCGTAGATTTTTCCTGGTAATTGCCAGATATTTCTTCGGCGCCAGCTTCTCAGGGTCGCCCAAGGTGATCCTGACAAGATTGCATCTTTTGATTCCATCACATATCTCTAAGGATTGAGAATGGGTGTAACGTTTGGCTAGTTCCGCAATTGTCGAAGTCATCAGGCCGTAGGTGACACTGGGATCCCACGTTGTGGAAATTAGCATATACGCGGGAATTTCAATTTACCGAATTGTTGAAAAAAGTGGGCTGAATAATCAGAAAAAAAAGTAAACAATATGGTTTTTAAGATATCTCCCTCACTTGTTGAACGTTTTATTTAGAACGCACTATAGAAACTCTATTATTCAACCCAGTTATGTTTGTTACAGTTCGATGCAGAATGGTTTGTCGTCGAGTTGCCTGCAACAAAGGGAAGCAGCAGCCTACCCGTATATGTTCCATGACCCTCTACATTCCTTGAGCTCATCATATAATTCAAGAGGGTGTAATCCGGCGGTTGCACATGCACAGCCTACAACGCATCCCACGTATGCATCAAATACACCTTCCGTACCTGTATCTGCTGGCACTGGTGAGTTAACTCAACACCATTAAGTGTTTTTTTTTCTTGTAATAATGGGTGTATCGTGAATTTGATAGAATTTGATAATAATAGTAGATTTTATCCATTGAAGAAATGACAAAAAACACATTGAAAGTATAAACCTATCAAATGGCAGGGTTCATTTCCTGATCTTATGATAAATGACTTGGTCTTCCATTCAACGCTTGAGTAAACTTTTGAATTATTCATCATGATCATACTCTCAACATTTTCTGGTCCAGAGCAAATGTTACTAGTCCTTCTCAGGGAGAACATAAACTTCCTCATGGTCAACATGGTGAAATTTTACGTCTACAAAGTTATTTGATTTCTCTTTGCCAGTTGTCTGAGGTAGGTGCAGTGCCAAGTAAGAACCACCTTGGGGTGCACCCAAGGGGTTTGGAGACTTTCAATCTTGGTCCTTCACTCCCATATTGATCTAATCATTAATCTTCAAACCATCAGTATACCAGTGCGTTCCTATCCGTCTTCGGTTCTTAAGAAGAATGAGGATGAGTTCAGACATGAGTTTCAGTTTAATAAAATCCAGAATTTTCATATTTCCCTACATATTTATGTCTTGTATACTATCTGGTGTATTCGAATGCACTTATTGCTACTTTCGAGCACTAAGGGAATCAAATCCGCGCGAAAAATCTTGGGGTTGCTACCAACCCAGAAAAGAATATTAACAACATCATTGGAACCGAAAGAACATTTGTTCAAAAAACACACATTGAATAGAAAATTGCCATTTTCCATTACTCATTCAGTCATATTTTGCAATATTAGATGCGACGATCAAAATAGTCTTCACTCAATACGTGTACTAACTGAACCATATATGGATAGAACTTGTAATTTTTCAATATTCGCCAGACCCTTGTTCAACTCACGCTTGTCGCAGTGGAACTTGTACTGATTGCCAAATTTGAACCCTGCTTATTTTCATTTCGAATCGCAAACGATTTTCCCAGGTAGATGTCCGCCAGGATACCGTTGGTTTACTGGTTCGGCAGCTCATTCTGATTAATTTTCAAACAAGTGATAGATCGCCAAAGATGATAAACGGTTTTTTATACATTCTATTGATATGGGAACCAAGTTGCAGGGGTTTTCTGGAAATAATATGGAAAATAACAGATGTTCCAGATGTAGGACTAGTTTTTTTTGCACCCCCATGACATCAGTAACAACCTGAAGGAGTTAAGGAAAACAATAAAAATGAAGGAAAACAAGATGGCCGCCAAACCAATTTTGAAGAGTAGAACTACGTAAAGGTTAGGAATAACTATTTCTAACCTTTCCTTTTAGCACCACTGAGCTTAGTGGTGCTTGAACAAATGTTGTACGCATCAAATCAATTGAACAGACTGAAGGAACATGTCCAGCGATAGTTTAAACATAATTAACTGATAGGAAAAAATGTTTTTGAATACTTCACTTTCATTAACATACACCAAAAAATAGATTATTGACTTCAAACTGAATCAAACCAATCACTTGTGGAATTGACCTCGGTGATAGTGCGCCTGACTCACGATCGGAGGGCCGTGGGTTCGATTCCCGCTTCGATCAGATATTTATTTTGAGATAATTTATCTGGTTGAAGCTGGAATGATTCTGCAACCGTGTTAGAAATCACACGTTCAAAGGTAAGACCTCGTTAGTCCTTAGCTCGTACAAGTTTCTCAACTTCTGAGAGTTGTCGTTCGTATAGGGGAGACAACATAACCTCGACAATACTAATACTTTTTTCCCTTGTATAATAAATAACTTTTGAATAGACAGTTTATTACATTACACAATTCATTTGATGGAATAGCTTGTCGCCACATCTACCTACCTGGTTAGATGAACAAAACTACAATGTAAAACTTGATCTTGTGATTCTGAGAAAACAATTACGTTTTTTTATAAAATATGTGGATCTCAGTATGAGTGTTTATATTGTTGGATTTCATTCAATAAATTTTTTTTTGGGCATGTTAATCAAAGCTTGTTTTGAAAATGCTCTCCACTATTCATTTATTCTCTTGAATTCAAAAATGATAACGATGATCCAGGTCGACACCCTATTTGAATTTCATTCCAAGTTGTCAAGACAATATTTCTATACTTCCAACCCTGGTGTCACAACCCTCTCAACAACATGTTCCAAATGAACACGGATGATTTTCTTGTCGCTCCAGCTGGTGAATCTCAATCCACTGCTGCTTTTGACTCGTAAAACATGGAATAAGGGTGCCTGAAGAATATCACAAAATTCTCTCAGGGTCATGAGATGTTCCTGAAGTATCATCGCAAAACTGCGAGTCTCGAAAAGAAATGGAAAAGAAAATTCCACATATGATGGGGTATATCTCGGAATGAATTGAGAAGTAGGTATCTAAAAGGAGAGTGATAAATGTTACACAAGGATACTTTCAATACTCAGGAATAGATCGAGAACAATGATAATAACGTTATAAGTTCAATGTAATTTTCGAAAGCACGTTGCTTGCTAATAAAAATGGCACAGGCACCATGAACAGTTTATGAAAATTACGGACCGATAAAAATTGTTTATTGCTCATATTCACCCTGATCCATTCAATGACAAGTATTCTCAATTAGAGATAAGAACTATTTTAAATCGAATATTTCAAAAAAATTATTATTAGCTTTGACTAAAGAACGATGTCAATATTAAAAACATGCAGTAAAATGCGAGCAAATAATCAGTCTCCAGTTATTCAATAAATATGGCTAACCAATTAGAAATATTTGCGAAAGGGATAATGCAATAATTTGAAAGGAGAAATGTTGACAGCTGATAAGTATTCCGAAAGATCAGAAAACTGTTCTTAACGACAAGCCTGAGTAATGATGATTATATCTTCGGTGGTGGGTATCGAGGTTTGGCATTGTAATTGACTGCATTGAGAAGCAAAACAGCATTGTCTGGTGACACGAATGCGTTATTTCGAAGTTCTAGTTTCAATAAGTTATAATGAGACTTTGAAACAGTTGAGTTCTCAAATGAGGAAAGATGCAGGAACAAATCGTAATCCGTAGTTTTTATTTCAACAAAGTAAGCACGAACATAATCAAAAAACAGATACAACTAGACTATAATACGTAACATAAAATGTTGTAAAAGTAAGGAAGTGGTAGAGAGTATATTGAATCACAATTTTTGAATGTAAAATTTCTTGCTAAAACAGTACATCTTGAAATATAATGCATGCAAAACTCACCTAAAACCAGGTACCCCATTCGTGAGTTGTCTAACATATTCTGATAGTTTCCCCAAAAGATTCTCGATTGGCGCTACTTCACAATGTGAAAGATTCGATCTTCATATACAGCTGATTTTCATTTAGCAAAAAGTGTTTCACATTCACAACTCAATTTAAATAGCAAAAGGCCTGGTAGAGGTATGCACAGATACATCAGAGCGCAACTTAGGCTTACAGATTTCTTTTAGTATAATCTATATATTACTAATTGTTGCCCGCGGCGTCGCCCGCGTAGAATTTGGTAGTTGTAGTACTAATTAGTACTATGTTGCTGTATCGCTGCTGTTCCAATATTTCGACAGAATCAGAATTAACCAACTTAGGCGTGCGCAGCGTTATAGAACAGTGCTTTCAAAAAATTGTTCTACGGCGCCATCTAGTGGCGAGTTACAGAAAAACTGATAGCCTAACAACCTTCTCTATGAAAAATTACTTATACATGTCAAGTTTCATCACGATCGGTTGAGCGATGTAGAAGTTTATCACTTACCAAAGCACCAACCAACCAACCAACAAACATCCATTTTTATATATTAGATTAGAATATGTTACAACTCGCCTCGCAGATCAATGAATTATTCGCCATACAGCCAAATGCTTCAAAGATTTTCATTGTTGAAATAATTTCCAAAGTCAGATATAAAAAGTTCCACGTTCTTCTTCGGAATTTGGTTATTGCAGGACATAAGTAACTATATAGACTGCCATATTTTTCAATATACGGAAACCCTCAAATAGAAGCTAACATTTTTTAGTTTCAGATTTTGAAGTGGACGATATCGGATTTGCGCGAAGTAGAACCAAGTCTCCTGGTTTGAATGAATTTTGGAGTCTTGAGGGATGCTGATCATGATCTATTTATTATCATATGTTACAATATTGATTTATTGAAAGGAATGAAAACAATTTTGTCTAATTTTCACTAGTTATTTTATTTTTACGACCGGTTTCCGGTTTTATCACCTTATCAAGTATGAAAACTAACTGATACATTTGAAATCTAAAAACGTGGCTATATAGGGAGTTTGTAGGTGAGCTGGATGGGAAGGTAATTAAATGAACAGGGGTGCTTACCTTAAAAATTCTACACTGGAGATTATAGACATTACCGCGGGGTTGTCAAACTTATTAAGTCAAGAGTGGAGACCTACATAAATCGAGTTGCTCGTTTAGGGTTATGTATTTCGGGTTTTCAATTGATTTATTAATTTCCGTGGTTTCCAACATGCATACATATATACAGGCCAAACCGCTAGAAATTTTGAAGTAAGGCTCCGTGAACGTTAGTTTGGACAAAAAATCTATAATATGATAATAACTAGTAGAAATTAGACAAAAATGTTTTCAATCACTTCATTAAAGTGAACATGAAATTCCACAAAATGAAAAATTCATCAAATACACAAATAATAATAATAATGATCCACTGAAAAACAACACGCATTTCCCACCTTTATTAGGCCCCATTAATAATGACTCAATTACAGCATAAGCCAAGTTTGAAGAAACTGTTCCCTGCAGAACTGCTCTATTGAACACAGTTGTGTATGGCGACTGTAAAAATCTCTAAGTTGAATACGTCTAATTAACAAAATTACAATTTTGTATTCAAGAAACCAATGCGATATGGGTTCTTAAGGATATCTCCACCAGTAAAATACTGAAAACAAAAAATCGAATATGGAATACCTACAAACAGCACTTAAATATTCAACAATGGAGAAAGTCAGAACCTCTAGAAATCAGGCTCTTCATAAATCCCCACGGTTAATAATTCACATCCCAACTCTTCGACTATTTTCAGAACAGTCCCGCGTAGATTTTCCTCCTGGGAATCGTCATTCACGTCTTTATCGAGCACACAGTGAAAGGTACAGAGACTGAGGTTAAGCGGACTCCCGAGAGAGAAGGTACCAAACGAAGCTTGCAACCAGAACAACGATGTCCCCACCCTCGCTTTAGTTCGCACATTATTGAGCGTTTGTCGAGCCGAGAATTGGAAAACCACCCTCCACCGCCACACTTTAAACTGATCACGGACAATGAAATTTACAGCGACGAACCGGGAAAACTGCTAGACTAGCTCCTTTTCCCGATTTTAGATTTGTACAATGTGTAGAAGCGAAAGAGCAAGAGTAAACATTTGTTTCTTTACTAAAACTTGTTTTATCTTTTGGTTCATATAAAAAATTGGTTGGTTAGGTAAAATTGTAAATTACGTTTATTTATACAATTACTTACTTCATCTTCATGAAACACATTTCATGAAAAAATATTGGAAAACAAAACCCTTATGCTTTCGGATTTCGTTTTTATGGCCTTCATTTCGAATGAAATGAAAATAAGTCTAACTTTATTTGTAACTAATGTTACTGCAGTTTCGTCCTATAAGGACATGTTCAAACTTATACATCAAACTAACAACAACATTTGCACTAATATAGCACCCCTGTAGGTAATAATAGAGGTACTTGGCTTGATTGAGTACCTGAATTTACAATTTACAATGTGGATGTGCTAATTTGAAAACCGATGAGTTAACCGAATCGATTTGATCATTTACAGGTTGAACCCGCAATGTTTATGCTTGTGAATTTCCATAGATTCTAAATAATTGAGTTTGTAAACCTTTCTTGCATAGTGTGAAATTTCCATATCGTTTAGATTCGGGAACTTGTTGTTTCATGCCAAGGAATGGTTTGAAAACGTCGAATCATTTTTTCCTAGTCTAAAGGACGTTTCATGTTCAGCAAACCGTTTTTGGAAATTTGCACTACATTTTCCCACACAACCACTATTACACTTCGGACAGATAAGCTTATGAACTCTAGATTTCTCCAACTTGTTCACCTTATCTTTGGCATTGAAAAGGAAATTAGATAACCTGGCATGTGGTCTGAATGCCACTTCCACATTGTTTTTTCTGAAGAAACCCGCAATTATCTCTATTATTTTTGCAAAATATGTTAGAAAAAAAACTAATCAAGTTTATGCTTGAAGAAGCTATTGTATAGCGAAACACGTGTCGCGGTTTTTGTAAAACCCTTAGATATAGCGAAAATCATACAATAAACTGTATTGATAAGTTTTTTTTTCAATATGGATTTTCATCAAGTATCGGCCAGTTCTATTCAAAATATGTTAGAGTTACCCATTTCTTGATTTCTGGTTTGACCTGCGGGTATATTAATCTGTAACTGAATTTACGGCTTTGTTTTCTGACTAACTTCTGGATAGTATCTGCGATGAAACCATTTTTACCCTCAGGTCAAATAACCAGAAATCAAGAAATGGGTAAGTCTAACATATTTTGGAAAAAGAACAGACATAATTGCGGGTTTCTTCAGAAAAAACAATGTGGAAGTAGCATTCAGACCACATCCCAGGTTATCTCATTTCCTTTTCAAAGCCAAAGATAAGTTGAACAAGTGTCGTGGTTTTGTAAACTGTCAAGTGGAAATACCTACGTAATTCTGTCATAACTGAAAACTACATACATGTGTATTATGTGTGATATGTCTGCATTTGTTATGGTAACGTTTACTGAAATCGATGGGAAGAACTAGACGTTCGTATTATGGAAAGTTCATGATGGGTATGTAAAGAAGAAAACGTCAAAAGAAAAATGTTGTTATATTAGGTAGAGGAGGTTGAGCTAAAATTCCTCAATTTATATTTTTTGCGAATATCTTAAAAACGACCATTTATATTCTCAATCTGAAAATATATTTTTATTAGCGCCTAAAATAGATAACGTTAGTATGATTAGACGACTCTGATTGTCTGACGTATCTAAGGTAGCAATGATGGAATCAGTAGGAAGAACTGGTCTGTATGGTCACTTTAAGGATTTCCTGTGTTTGGAGAAGTTCCAATTGTTTCAATTGACAAATTTAAGAAATTACAGTTCAGCTATTTCAAAAGTTTTCGCACTCACTCACAATCACCCTCGTATTCAAGAATAATGCTAATACTCGCTTTCCTTCTTTCCAGGTGTCATATCCGCCGGTGTGTCGGTGCCAGTTCAAATCCCCAGCCAGTCCGCCGACCTCACGTCGAGTTACTGGCCTCGAATTCAGTGATCTCAGCTCTTCGGGTTTCCTCCACCGAGCTTGCTCGTGCCCCAGGAAAACCCGTCCCTGCAAGCGACCATGACGCCCCCTATCATCAGCGCGCCGCCACCTGAAGAAGCCTCTTAATTGAGGATGGTGACATCTCTGCTTTACCCACGCTTCGACAGGTAACTGTTGCCCACAACGCGATTGAATCTCGCGGCTTCGTCAGCCGGACTGCAGGGTACTCTGTGCATAGTGTAAATATTTGAGGGGAGTTTGAATTTGTGGACGGCGAACTCTGTTGCCAAGGTAATCAACAAGTGAGGGCAATATATGTAAATACTTTGTATAGTTCTTTAAACGAATGTTCTCTGTAAATTTTGCAATAATTTGTCGACGAGACTCGATTAGGAAACTTAAGAGACCTTTAGTTGGAGTTTCGACTTGGGAATTTTGAATAAGGGTGGCCATTTCTTAATATTTTAGCTGTCCTCACAATGTATAGGACATCGTTCCATCAATTTAGATGAACTCCCACAAAAAGTAAATGAAATAAGTTTTAATAGTCGACAAAAATATTTACTTCATAGAACACAAATTTCTTGAAAAAAACTCGTGACCGTAGGTATAACATTGGTATGAAATTTGGAATATTCTAATTTACACCGAGATATATTGAAAAAAGATGTGGGGAATTTTTTTCGAAGTAGGAGCTTGACCTCAGCTTGATTTTTGGCATTGAAAGAGGAGACCCGACCTCTGTCACTTACAATGATGTCGCAGAAACTACTCTACTTCTGCGCGTACACAAAGATAAACCGATGCATGAGGTTTTCTCTGTTGATATTGAAGATCTCTATTTGTTAAAACACAAGACATTTGTTTTTCTCAGGTCAATTATGATGAAGCTGAAAACCAAGAAATTTATCTTGGCCTGCTGAGATGGTATCTTCAACATAGTGTGGCTCTATTACCATTTCAGCACGACGCGACATATTGACGAGGCAAATACTCTAGAATCATTTTGGCTAATACTTTTTGTATCGCTTCAACAAATAATTTATTTTAGGGACATTCAATATCTCTGAGCATATATGGCTACTTGAAATATGATAGGTACCGCTGGATGATTTTGTCTTGTTGATTTCGTTAATCTGAATTTTATTTTGATTTTCAAGAAAGAAGCAGTGAAAGGGTGGTCAAAAATGTTTGTCTATTTTGACTATTTTCGAATCAATTTTTGGAAACTGTACTCAAACTTAGCTGAAACATAATTTTAATTTAAATTAACTGATATGAATCCTTGTTTATGAAGGCTTGAACAAAATTTTACAAACCTTGTGGGTTTCTCGAAGCGATATTTTTAAAACAATAATAAAAATTTTGAAATGAGACTTCTATGTAAAAAAACAAAATGGTTGTTAATTCTGTTGATGGGGCGTGTCCTATTTCTTTATTCTTTTTCCCAATATGAAATTTTGAAAAAAACGCCAAAAAGTCCTTTTTGAGGTCACACATTAGGTAATGACAACCCTTAATCTTTGTACAAAACTTTCAATTGAGTTCTCGAATTGTAACATAGCAATAACTGTATCTATTTAATTTAAATATTTATGAAGTAATGTTAATATGTGTACCAACTGTGTTAATAATTTTATATTCTTTAGGCACATTTTTTTCCATAGTAGCCCAATAAAGACATCCTTCTCAAGAAGTTGAATTTTCAAAAGGCTTGTATCAAGAAATGAAACCACACGATTTTTTCATGTTCGATTACTCAACATCAAAACAAAATTTTCTGGAATAACACAAATAGAATATTTCAATTACTATGAGAAAGTGAATTCCATGGTAGTGAAAGATTATTGAAGCGAACCTTCGATCATATAGCATAATAGATATATCTTAGTAGCCATTGAAGGTTCAAAATGGTAAAGACCAATCCAAACGGGGTTTTACCAAGGCTCTTCTTTGTTTTGTAAAAAGACATGAATTTGTAAAATTGACTTGTTTCGACTATTTGAATAGCAGGAATTGAATTGTAACCGATTGAACGATGAAAAATATCCAGAACCACCATTGAATCGTGATAATGCTGATTTTGCGAGGTTCATTTGGATTTTGTTCCAGTCATATTTGAATAGTTTAAACTTCAATTTGAGATTGTCATGATTGGGTGATAGAATGTATAGTGATATTCGAAAGTATTAATGATAAATGTTGTGTAAATTCCTGTTGCTGTGATTAATTTTAAACAAATTAATAATTGACATACATTACAGTTAATGTAGGAGTAGTAAGTACATACTTGTGTAGTTGTGTAAAAGGACAGTTTGTGGAATAATAAAAAAATAACTGAATGAAAACCTTTTATTTCCAAGCCTTATAACTATACAAAAATATATTTTTCTGCTCGACATGTTTTGATATTATTCACGTAGAGAGACTAATGATTAAATACCAATCGATGATGTTAGATTCATTAATTGAAACAGGTGAAATAATCAACTCTTTCTGATTGGAAGGTTGAATACTTGAATGTATATTAGATAGATAAATGAATACCCATATCAACTTCCGATGTAGCGGGGAAATATAATCAATATTTTAATGTTAAACGTATTCTGGGGCGGCCACTGTTTCGGGATGTATCAATGGCGTACTCTCTGTGACTCTAGCTGCCCGTATAATTCCGCTTCGGTTTGGAGGGAACGGTGGTTTCCCATGTTGGTCCCGAATTTGAACGAATACACCAAACAGAAACAGTACAACCCAAAGGAAGGAATTTACAATATCTAGAAAAAAAATGTTTCATTGAGGTGAAAAGAGGGGGACTTTCAGCCAAGGTTAATAATAATCTTTTTGTTATAACTTCGGTATGTCCCTAGATATTTTTGTGAAACGTAGTACGCTTAAATTGAAAGGGGTATATTTCAGGGAAGGACTAGTTTTTGAAAGTAGTACGCTTCTTCTACACATCACCTGTTGGACCACATAGTTTCTATTCTTGCTGGTGGTGTCCGCGTGAAACTTTTACAGAATTATGCAAATACACAATTGTTAAGCCAATGCTTTTTCGCCAAATAAAAATCATTTCTGAAATCCTCATTATTCTATGACCAAATGTGGTCTTGATTTTTCCGTTCGACGTACGGGTTCCGTATAAAAAGTAAAATTTCTGCATATAGGTATATGATATATTTGTATGAGTCCGAAATGTATACAAATACTGAATAGTAGGGGCTTTCAAAATGAAGCATAGGTTAACTCTGCCGGAACGTCTAGTACTCCCGACATATATTCATTAAAGACGGGCCAATGTAATCACATTTTAGTGGCGGCGACACATTTTTCAGAAAGAGTGGACCTCAGCGTTTAACTTTAAAAAGGGAAACTCAACTTATTCTGAGCATTCGATATAAAATTGTGGACAATAACTTAACGAGGTTTTTGTTCCATGTATAGGATAGTTTAAGTAGGGTAAAAACAAAAAATATAAAAATAGAAATTTAAAGGAGGGGATGCAATAGTTATCATAAAATATAATATCTTTAGCCTATTTTACTGTACTAATGTTTCCCAAAGAAACAAACAAAATGTATGTTTTTATACTTTTATATATTCGCAGACCAGTCCTCAATAAAGAGTTCTCTGGCAAAGGTCGTATAATTTAAAACCTTTACACCAGAGTCATGAAAAGTTGGACGTTTCGGATGCGCTACACCCAGAGAAGCCGTGGTGGATATTTGTACTGTGTTATATTTTATGAATATTGGCAACAACAAATTTCGACGATATTTCACACACACTTTGCTTGATTTGAATTTAAAAATAGAAGACACTATACATGACTCATCGAGGAGTAACTGAGACAGCAAAGTATGTTACGTTGACATGTGAAATATTTAACCGATATGCCTGATATGTCCTTCTCAAATATCTTTGCAAATGGTGAGATCGATTCAAAAGGCTATTCTTTTTGAGGTATATTGAATATATTTAGCAAATCAAATGATATTAAACGAAAGATTCACTTTTAAATATTAAACAAAGGCAACGTTCACGGAATCAGACCTGATCATACTAAGGGACTCTTGATCTGGGTGATTCTTTGGATTGTTCTATTCATCTGTATGCCTTAACTCTCTCCGCTTGATGAGTTCTCAGAACTTGGACTGTATGAGTAGAGCACAATAGTAGCCACAAGCAGGACTTTTCTCCAAATTCGGATCCCAAAAAACATCATCGTGATAGCATCATCGTTTTCAACACACCTTGGGAACTACAAAATTATTTCGTGCACAAGGGGGATGCTGCAATCATTGAAACCTCTTGAATTTTTATGACATTCGGTTTGAAGTTTGAAAAATCATATAGCTCCGGTTTGCAAAACCCAAAAAAGATGGCGATTGTTCCATCACGATTCGTCAGAAGCACAGATGGGTCGATTTAATGACCGTCAATCTTGTCATAAAGATCCAGCCCGCTAGACTTTTCGACTCTCTTATATTACCTTTCAAAATGTTACCTTTTCCGAATTGAGTAGACTTGCCTGAATAATCTGACATTTTTTATTGTGAAATATTGTTTAGGTCGTGAAATCGATTGACTTGTTGTAGTTTTATTGCAAAATTACCACTACTTTCAATACAACCTTATGTTCTAATTTCAATCGTTCTTCTTAGGGACAATACACGTAGATTAATTATGTATTCTCTTAATTGAATATACCTTCAGAAAGCTTCTACCCACATTAGTCATTTTCTCACAGTTTTCTCCTCCAAATCTCCGGCTATTTCCCGAATCAAGATATACATCGGTACACCACATTCTTCATGTGTTTCGAATTACTGTTAAACTTACTCGAATTCAAGATTCAAGTTCATATACTGTATCAAAAAATTAGAAAAATCTCAAAAATGCGTTACAATATACAAAATTTATTGACAAACAGGGTTTGCATTTCTTTAATCGTCATTGATAAACAAATGAAGTTTTTGAAAAAAATATTGGTCAGAAATAAAGTGCAAACCTTCCCTTCCAAAAAGATATTGAATCTTTCAATATTGAAATGTAGAACTAAACCGTTTGAAATGCACTTTTCAACAGATATGAAAATAAACGCTAATTCCTAAAGCTTACCTCTCTTGAAGTGCGGTACATTGACAATATTCTCGTTACTTTTCATTCAACCCGATATTCACCGTTTTAATTCGAAATGTTTTCTGACAATTTTGATCCTGTGAATTGTCCATTTCTGATGTTATATCGATGTTCATTATCAATCCCTCAATGGCGTTGAAAGTTCACCAATATAACTTTTATCGCAAGAATAAGGTGACTTCTGACTACAATTTTTTGTTTTCTTTTCTGTGTTATTGGGTTTCGCATGTATAGGTATAGGTCTCTCTCTCTCTGTATCAAGTGCTTCAATACATTTTTTTTTCAGATTGTAGAAGGAAAAAAATACCCAAATAAATTACGATAAAAAACACGGATTCCTTCCACAAAAAAAAGACAAAATAATGTGGATGTGGATAACTGAATAAGTTTTTTACATGATGTATTTTCATAAGTATCTTGTTAACAGTCCCCATAAAACAACATTCATCATAAAAAGAAAAAATTGTTAAAAAAGTTACGATATCTTTTGTAGATGAACTGTAGCATTTTGTGAAATATATAAGTAGGTATATTTAAAAAAAATTCAACTTGTTGAATATTTTAGTTCATTAATAGTGATGAATTTTCGGATTCCATTTGCTGAGTCACTTTATTAATAATCAATGTATATTTATTAATTAATATCCATATTATTGGAGCAATATCGGTTAATTAATTATTATTGCTCCACATACTTACCTAACATTTGGAATGGCGGATCAATTACTGCATAATTGAAGTGCTTCACTGTAGCTCTTCTGAACGTATTGATGATGATGTACTGCAAATTTCCTCCAACATAATGGTTCATGGCTGTTATACAAGCGTAAGAACCTACAAAGCTGCAAGTGACGATATGACTCATTCTTGTAAAAGGCACGAAAATGATCAAACATCCCAAAATTATAGAAAGGAAGATCACCCAGAAGTTGATGTCGTTGGTGAAAATATCTATATCAGCTGGAACAAAATAT